GAGGTGGGTAAAATGAGGACCCAGATTGTTGGAGGCAATATGCTGACTCTGTAAACTGCTTCGAGAGGGCTGTAAATCACTATGGAGCAGTATATAAGTCTAAGTGCTATTGTTATTGTGTACAGGTGGTCCTCGACTTATGATCACAATTGTGCCCAAAATTTCCAGTGCTAAGCAAGACAGTTGTTAAGTGAGTTTTGCCCCATTTTACGACTTTTCTTGCCACTGTTCTTAAGTGAACACTGCAGTTGTTAAGTTAGGAACACAGTAGCTAAGTAAATCTGGCTTCTCCATTGACTTTCCTTGTCAGAGGGTCACAAAAGACAATCAGGTGGATGCTGGGGGACTGCAACTGTCATAAAAACAGGTTGATTGCCAAGCATCCAAATTTTGATCATGTGACCAAAGGAATGCTGCAATGGTCATTAGCGTGAAATATGGTCATAAGTCCCTTTTTTCAGTGCCGTTGTAAGCTCAGTCACTAAAGGAATTGTTACAAGTCAATGACCTGTAAGTCATGCTTTACTATGGTTATGTTCACACAATCTGCTAAGCCAAAACTAAATAACATTGTGGCTTAGCATAAAAGATTGATTCAAGCCAAAGAGATAGAAAGTAGTTAGGAAAGGATGAAAATGTCATGCATTTAATTCCAAGAATCTATTCATCTATTTTCCTTTTAAACTACCTTTAAAAATAGATAGAAACGTGCATTCAACTGCATTTTTATGCATTGTTCCCTTGTCTGGATGTTGTATATACATACTGATAAGAAGATGAGGCCTGTTCTCCCTTGCCTGTTCTTATGAACAATCCAGTTGGAAAACCCACTTAGGCCACTGAGTCCCGCTCTATGCAAGATTTCAGATCAAAGCGCCCGAGAGAGAGGCTTTCTTCTTTAAAAATTTAAAACACAGCACCTGCTATCCAAGATAAAAAATCTTTCTGACAATATGCAAGTGTATTATGCTCTGGTCTTCTATTCTGGTTGATAAGATAGGGCTGTCCTGCTGGAGCTTGGAGGTCAGCCAATTTACAAAATATTGTCCAGGGAAGTCGTCATTCTTCTGCATGCTTGCACTTAAGCCCTGAATTTTTGAGCTACTGAAATTCACCTTTAACTGTAAAAGTGCAAAAGAGAAGATGGGGAGCAAAATACCTGCTACCCTTACGAGTTTCACCTCCTCTACCATCCATTTATCTTCCATCTATAAAGAGGTATGTTTATTTCTGTATGGATCTGTGTGCACAGGTGTGTGCGGGGGATTTTCTGAATGGAGAGGTGCCTTTTGCTAATGAGCTGCTTCTGTTCCCTTGGTTAGCACAACAGGGATCCGCGCCGGTTCATTCATCGTTATACCTACATGAATTCACAGTGTGAAGGGAAGCTTAATGTCTTATCTGAATATCCCTGCCCCTTGTTTTTCCTCTCCCAGCGAAAAACATACTGAGATACCAAGAAGAAAAATGGGGAAAGCCTCATCACGGGCAAATTAGCAAATTAAAGATACTTGCAGCACCTTTGGGTTGCAATGCCAACCCATTAAGATCAAAGTGAGCTTTGCCATTGACTTCACTGGGAGGCAGATTGCACACCTGGGGCTCTCTTCTTTGAAGAGGGGAGTTCCTAGCTTGTTACTTTAATGAAGCAAAGCCAGTTTAAGGGCACTCCTGGGTGCTAATTCAGCATCGTAGCTAATCTCAAACTGTAGATGTGCACAAAAGGCTAAATCAGACGTGGAATCTAGATTCATACTCGTAGAGGAGGAGAAACTCCTCGTACTCATTTGCATTCTAGAATAGAATAGAATAGAATTCTTTATTGGCCAAGTGAATATGTCTTGGTGCAAATACTCTCAGTATTATAAAGAAAAGATACATTTGTCAAGAATCATAAGGTACAACACTTAATAATAAGTCATAAGGTACAATAAGCAATCAAATCAGACGAGGAAACAGTCAATATAAATCGTAAGTATACAAGCGACAAAGTTACAGTGATACAGTCACAAGTGGGAGGGGATGGGTGATAAGGAGTGATGACAAGATTAACAGTAATAGTAGTGCAGACTTTGTAATAGTTGAACAGTATGGAGGGAATTATTATTTAGCAGAGTGGTGGCATTCGGGAAAAAACTGTTCCTGTGTCTAGTTGTTCCGGTGTGCAATGCTCTATGGGAGCAAGGAGTTGAAACAGTTCATGTCCGGGATGTGAAGGGTCTGTAAATATTTTCACAGCCCTCTTTTTGACTCGTGCAGTATACAGGTCCTCAATTGAAGGCAGGTGTGTAGCAATTGTTTTTTCTGCAGTTCTAATTATCCTCTGAAGTCTGTGTCTGTTCTGTTGGATTGCAAAACCAATCAAACAGTTATAGAGGTGTAGATGATAGACTCAATAATTCCTCTGTAGAACTGTATCAGCAGCTCCTTGGGCAGTTTAAGTTTTCTGAGTTGGCGCAGAAAGAACATTCTTTGTTGTGCTTTTTTGATGACGTTTTTGATGTTCTATGTAAGCCAGTCAGGTCTTTGGCCCCTGCATGGACGTTTTTTCTTCTTCTTTAGATTGTACTGGCTTCTGGTGACTTCCCCAAGTGTTTTTTTATTGCAGGCCCAACTAAGTGGTGGGATTCAAATTATTTTACCACCAATTTGGTGGGCATGGCTTGGTGGGCATGCTTTGTCTAATGTGCACATGTGCAGTTTTCCTGCAGCACCAATCAGCTGAGAGGATAAAGAAAAGTGCAGGGGCAGGTGGGACGGCTGATCCTGCACTTTGCTCTTCTTTTTCCTCTCAGCTGATTGTCGCAAGCTTTTTTTTCTTCCTCTCAGCTGATCCTCAGAGGCTTGTTTTACTACTGGTTCGGCCCAACCGGTCCACCACTGGTCCAACTGCACAAGAGGCTACCGGTGATGGATCATTGCTCCACTCAGTCTGAATAATAAGTGGGCTTGAAACCGTTATTATTTTCATTTTTGTCTTACTTTATGTGTGCGAACAACTCACGTGCTTCGCTTCCCTCTGTTATGCTTTGAGTCTCTTGGTCTGCTATCGTTCTTTTTGATGGCTTACACCTCAAATCAGCTTAGAAAGACCTGAATGAATAACCCAGGGTGGCATATGCAGCAGGCTCTGGTAACACTGACTCATGCTCTTATCGCCATGGGTCTGAACATGACCTTATTATCTCACTCTACATGGGGCTGCCCTTGAAGACAACCTAAAAGCCGCCCCAGATGGAAGAAGCACTGCCTTCCTGCAGACAGATGAGAGGTCTTATTGTAAAATGACACCAATGCTGCACGAGTGCTGGTGTTCTGATCCAAATAGAATCTGCTTATCTGTTACACAGGAGTGGAGAAGGCATGTTGCAAAACCTAACTTCCTGGGATAAAGTTATTTTATCTTCGAGGGTCCAACAGCTCTCTCCCTATCGCTGTGTTTTTAAGCCTATAAAGATGGCCCTCTTCATACAGCATTCAGGGTATAAGGAGCCAAAACAGATGGCAGATGTCTAATGCGCTGTTTTAAGACTGGTTACTTCTGTGGAATAACAGAGGTATTTTTATTATGAACTTTAAAATACGAGGACCAAATGACGTGCACTATAGCGTTTGTGGTTTTACTATTTGTGTTATTTTTATTAGATTGTGAACTGTCTTGAATCTTGAATGGGATCAGCATAAATTGATAAGAATAAACTAATAAAAAGTACCCACGTGAAATCAATAGTATTTTCACTTGTATAAAAGAATTTTTCTTTCTCCCTCTTTTCCCTCAATTTTCCAGAACATATTTATTCTGTCTCATTTTAGATCATGGGTGTCAAACTCGATTGCATCACGTGACATTTTTTGCCTTTGCGGAACTGGGGTGGGCGTGGCCTGTGTGGGGCACATCCGGCCCATGGGCTGCCAGTTTGACACCCCTGATTTAGATCATACATTCCAGAAAAAAAAAAATCTGAGTAATCCCTGTTCTCTGTAGCAGAATATATTGCATCTGTGCCTTTTTTCAAGCTAGCAGAGCTTTCAGCTTGTGAATGGTGACAATAAGGTCTGCATCAAAGCAACCAGCCCCAACAGGTTTCTTGAAAGCTGAAGTTTAAATCAGTGTCAGGTGACCAACTACTACAGATCAGATTGAAAATTTTAGCTAAAGCTTTAATAACGGCCTGTGGCAGAGTTATGCCATGTGTGTGTCTTAGAAAGAAGCCATACTATCAAATAGAATTTATCTTCAAGTCAGAGTGCCTAGGAGCAGCATCCTACGTTTAGCAAGCCAGATCAGAGCCAACTTCAGATAATTATAATCAAATATTTCAGGTTACACCATTCCTCCACTGAGCCCTTTATGGCTACCATAAGCTTCTCACAGATCTTAGCAGAGTTTCTTCCCCCAGTCTCCACTTTTTAAACCTGAGATGGTCAAAAAGCAAATCCACAAAGTTCTGAATGCACAGCGTTTTATTTAGTTACCTTAATTAAAAAGCAGGTCACTTAAGCTAAGATCCAAGTGTTTGATTTGTCTCTTGAAGTTTTCTGACTAACTGGGATGGGTCGGTGTTAAGGCAAATACAATTCCTTTCTGAGATTTAACCCTTTAGTCCAACATAGTTAGTGAGAATGATTCCAGTCACATGCTCTCCCATGTACATGCAATGCTTTTGTGAACATGGACTGCCCCATTTATCTCGAAGTACGGAATGCATGCTTGCATGTGAATGCATGCACTGTCCGAAGTGATTTGTGGGCTATGAGCCCTTGGAAATGGTAATGTTCCATAATGCCTATAATCTGAGCAGTAAGTCATCATGCTTTTCAAAGTATTTTGGTATCACGATCAACGCTTCCATTTTGTAGGAAATAAAGTTTGTTGCACAAAAAAGAGACTTTTTAGAGTTCATGCATATTCCTGGGCTTGCCACGTTTTATGTGCCTTATGCTTTAAATTTAACGCAGGCTTAAGCTGTCGGGAAGATTTGAAAGCCCATCCTTTACATTCATCTCTGTATAAGAATGAAAAATATCAATATCAAAAGCAAAGTGTGATTCTGAGTAGTGCGAGGCAAAAATCAACCAGGTGTTTTAGGGGAAGAGCATTTTTTCCTCAATTGACAAGCTAGTCTTGGTTTTATCTACGTATTTAGCAAGTTGGCAAACAAATCACAGATGCCGTCAGCCTGCTCAGTTGTCAATTCTTCTTTATAGCCTAAGTTTACACATCTCCAGTTTTCAGAGACAGCTTACTATACCTTAGATTTTCAAATTTGGAATGAAAAAAAAAAATCCAAAACAAGAACATTGAAAAACTACGGTTTGCACCTTGCCAGAAGATCTGAGGCCAGTTGCAAACTCCAGGTGACCAACAAATGGCAGCAAAGAGTTCCTTATTTGTATATCTTTGCCTGCCCTTCAGCCTATTTGTTTGTTTTGGTTTTTTGCTCCAAGCTTTAAAAATCATGCACTTCCCAGGAAAATAAACACTGTTGAGTTTGTCCTCATGGATAGACTTAGCTCACCAAGGTCCTCCTTAATAAGTCCTCAGATTGACTTTAGAATAGAATAGAATTACAGAGTTGGAAGGGACCTTGGAGGTCTTCTAGTCCAACCCCCTGCCTAGGCAGGAAACCTTACATCACTTCAAACAAATGGTTATCCAACATCTTTTTAAAAATTTCCAGTGTTAGAGCACCCACATCTTCTGGAGGCAAGTTGTTCCACTGATTAATTGTTCTAACTGTCAGGAAATTTCTCCTTAGTTCTAAGTTGCTTCTCTCCTTGATTAGTTTGCTTCTCCATTGCTTCTTGTCTTACCCTCAGGTGCTTTGGAGAATAACTTGACTCCCTCTTCTTTGTGGAGGCCCCTGAGATATTGGAACACTGCTATCATGTCTCCCCTTTGCTTTTGTGTTGTTTTGGCAGGAAAGGAGGGAGTAAATGTGTCTATTTCCAAACAAAGCACTGGATTGAGAGAGGCAACTTGTACCCCCAAGAGATTTAGGACCACCAAATCCGCAATTGGCAATATTGGCTAAGCCTGATTGCTGAATGCCAAACCTGTGGTGGACATCAAATTGCCTATCCTACACTGGACTGTATCCATCTACTATTAAGTTCTTTTAAGTCTATAGTAGCTATGTAGGTCCCAATGTTCTTGAAAATAAAAATGATACCCAGGACTGACAATTTAAAACAATCTCTATACTTGTGTAAAATTAAAAAAAAAATAGGTGTAGAGGAGACGTAATGATTGCCATAGAAAATAGTCCAACTTCAGTCATAGGAAATAAAGATGGGACACTCATTGTGTATGTGCAGAGTTCTCCATCCCTTCCATACCAGTAATCTCAGCTGCACTGAAATGCCAGGCAATGATGTTGCATGCATTTTTAAAAATTCTTGCTTTCGTGTGACCCAAAAATCAAAGTCAATGCATGGATACTGAGAGAAAGGCAGCACTAAAGATTGTGATGTGTGTAACTTAAAAAAAAGAAAGAAGCTGCAACCTCAGCTCAATCTTGACTCCAGTATTGTCTTTTAGTTCTTTCCCGTAAATGACTGTCATTCATTCCTTATTATAGGAGGAACAGACCACTGACTTTGGGGACATTATGGTAATTAATAAAGCCTGACCGTACACTGCATGGCTTCATCTTCAGGAACTAAACTACTACAGGAGATAAATTGCAGTCCCAAAAGACTAATGCAATATGCAAGTCCCCTTCCCACAGAACTGGCACCAAGGTGAATGGTGTTTGTATCTGTGCATCTGAATATCCACATGGGCCTGTGTGCACATATGCCTCAAGAGGTCTTTGGGGTAACAATGTCCATGCTTAATATAGAAAATTACAAAAAATGGAGGGAGATGTGATTGGATGCCCCGCTTCCGGGTTAAAATTGGAAGGGGAAGAGAAGACTGGGTTAGGACACAGTTCACTAGGGAGATGTTTTCTTCATAGGTAAAGCCTCCACCTCTGCTATTTGACCCAATGGAGAAAAACATAGTTTCCATTTAATAACATACATGATTTCCATCCTGGAGGGGCGGAGCAGAAAACTCTTATTTCAAGAAGAAATTTAAATCTCAAGAAAATAGAGTAAGTTAAACTCTCCTTTCCCACCCAGTATGATCAGCCCCTGATATTGGTCCACTTGAGAGCAGGGAGGTGAGTCCATCCATCCAACCACTTACCTTGGTTGTTTTAATTTTGTTTCCACTGCTGCATGACCAACCTGTGTAATCTGGAAGCACTTTACATTCTTCTCCTTCCAGACAAGGGTTCATATGACACCACCACTTCTGGATAACAATGGCAGCTAGAAAGCAAAAAATGAAGTCATTTCAGAACAACATGCAATAAATGGGACCCGGAAAATGCTGCCCGGAAGCAGCTAATAGCTACTGGATCTTCCCACCGTTGGCATCTCCAAATGTGTTGAAGCCGCAGGCCAAAAGGCACGCTAGATGGGAATTCTGGGAGTTTCATTGCCAACACAACTGATAGTCTATGGAGATTCTCAGTCATGCAGGTCATGGTTGCCACAAAGGTGTTTTTCCCCACCCTTTTTTTTCCAACTGAACTTTCTTGATTTTGCTTGAAGACATTTCATTTCTCATCCAAGAAACTTCTTCAGTTCTAATTAACTTGTGGGAAAGGGAAAGATCCTTGGAAGAGAACAATGTTTACATTCTAGACAGAGAGGACCTGGAGCTTGAAAAAAGAATCAAAGAAGCGATGTTGAAATTGAACAGAGAGAGAGGAGTATGACACGGCCTATATCTTACAGTGCAGTCCTTTCAGCAGTCCCAAGGCACTTCCACATTTATTTTATTTTTTTTGCACTCTGATTCAGGTGACTCTGAGGACATAAATTAATCCCCAGGTGGTTTCAACGATTATCGGTGTTAGCTATTGGCTGACTGAGAAGAGTATCAGTCTTTTCCATTATCCATCAGTTAGGTAGAATTGAAGAAGCTTCTTGGATGAGAAGCAAAAAGTTTTCAAGAAAAATCAAGACATCAAATCCAGTTGCTGTTTGGAGAAAAGCACCTTTGGGACAACATATCTGAGAATGAAAAGCTCTTGCTATACCATGGAATCCGTGTAAGCAAGGATAATAAATTGCAGTTCATGCAACAGATTCCAATGAGAATATCCTCCCTGCCTTCTAATCCACTTAATAACTAAGGTTCTCTTGACAGAAAGTTACCAAAAAAAAAACCCATTAAATGCTAGGAAAAGAACATTTTAAAACCACATAGGAAAAAATCAATGTCAGTTAAAAATAACAAAACAGAAACAATATTTCTATGCACACAGAGAAATTGGCATTTTATTTTATTTTCTTCTCCCGTTGAGTAGCCCCATCTTTTATTAAGCTGGAAATTGCTTCTGAAATTCTATTTTTTTTCCTTACGGCAGTTTGTGAAACGACGGTCAAGAATAAGGGAAGGGCATCAAGAAAGTTGTTTGAGTCCCCCCAATTTCATGAATGAATTTTTAGGCCCAATTATTCTCATATGCATATCCTTAAGGATTTCTTTTAGGAGGCATTCCGTAAACAGTTTCTATCCTCCTTCCTCACATCAAAAGGATCTTCAAAAAGAATCCACACATCTCATTTTTCCAATTCTCCAAGCTATGGTTTGAAAGGAACTTCTGAAATGTAGCATTTAATGATTCACTGATATTTGTATTCTGCTCTGCTCTGGACATTCTAGGCGGCTAAAATGCAGATCATCAGACAGATTTAAAATATTTGAGACATTCGGTTTGTTTTTTGTTTTTTTTTTAAAAAGACCCAGATTTTTTGTTCTGTGAAATAACAGGACCACTGGACTGCTCTGGAATTTGGAGGACATTTCATAGAGATGGGACAGCTGTTGAAAAGGACTGATTCTTCTGCTCCTACTGTGGAGGGATGCCTCAAGTCCAAAAGAATCCCTCATCATCTCATCAGCCTTTGCTCCAGTTATTTCCTTTGGTTCTGCCAATGTGTCCAGATTTGAACAAGATGGAATCCAGATGAGCAATTTTTATCAGAAAACTGTTTGATCTTTCAAATCAACCTAAAGAAAGAGTTTCTGAACTGTCCTTACTTGCTGCTGCTGGATGGCATTCCCTACCCAGAACCTTTCCTACTTGTGTGGTCCATATCTCCTCTTCTCTGCCATGTTCTTTTCTTACCATGAACATAGTCATAATTGTCCATTTCAGCAAAGCGGATAGAGCTCCTTCCTCAACAAACATCTGCCTCTTACTCAAAGAATTGCAAGCTTATCACTGACTCTGGATATGTCCATTGACACACAGTGACAAAATTCCAGGAGGGAGAATGGCAAGTATTTGAGAGTTTGATTTCCTCATTTGTAGGGGAAAGAGATCCCTTATCCAGCCACGAGAATTGCCTCCTATTTCCTCCAGTCCTTCCTTCCTTTTCTTTTGTGAATACTTTAATAGAAGATGCCTTTGTTTCTACAAAGTACAGCTTGCTCCAGCAAACTCTGGATAAAACAAATCACTCTGATTTAAGATTACAAACCTGGAATTGACTATAATCATGCTATGTTGATTCACATATTATCAGCAAATTCAATTCAATTGTGTACGTAGTTACAGTTTTGATGGATGCATGTGTGTATGCCACCTTTATTATTTGTACAAATAGGGTGAACATATCCAACCCACCTTCCTCTTCCTCTTATCCCCACAACAACAATCCTGTGAGGTGAGTTGGGCTGAGAGAATGAGTGGCCCAAAGTCACCCAGCTGGCTTTCATGGCTAAGGCAGGATTAGAACTCACAATTTTCTTCTTTTTAGCTTTAACTAGACCAAATTGGCTTTCAAGTTTACTATCCAGTTTACTCTACTATCCAGGGAGGGAATTGAAGAAGAAAAGGATAAAGTAAAACAAAAACACACCACCCACCATCAAAGCTGTAAATGAGTGCAGACAGGTTTCTGCACCTCTAACTCCACCATGTACAATTACATCCATGCACTGGGAGACAAGATTTAAATTGGTCTTGGATGTGGTTACTGGCCATACAGAAAAATCTCTGCAGGCTACTATAACTACTATTATTATTCCTACTTCAAGATAATTCAAAGTAGTTTACAGTGGTGTCTTTCAAATATTGTGTTTATTACAAGTTTGTTGAGAGAGGGAGAGAGAATAGCTCAAGGATACACAGTGGTCATATGATAATTTGAAGCTACATTACCTTCAGTCCAAGTCCTAAACACTAACCAATTTACTGTATATGAAATGTGGCTTATGAATGATGCTGTTCCTACTTTTGATCTAAAATAGCTATATTGAAATCTATGCTTCATTATTAACCTATAATCCCAAAAGCTATTCTTGGGTTGTTCTTCAGAAAGTACAAGGAAAGGACTGACCAAGCATGCCACTCAAGTATAATGTTAATGCAACTGGGTGGTTAACATGCTGGCACAGAAACCTGGAGACGGTGAGTTCTAGTTCTGCTTTAGGCATTAAGAGTGGCTGGGTGATTTTGGGCCAGTCACTCTTTTTCAGCCCAAATCATTTCAAAGCATTGTTGTTATGGTGAAAATAGGAGGAGGAAAGAGTATTATGAATGCTTGCCACCTTGAGGTACTTATAAAGTAATAAAAGCGGGATCAAAATTGATTAAACAAACAGCCTTGTGAGATGGTCCAAAGAATAGGCCCACCTAGGTACTAGCTCTAAACTGTATTGTAAGATTAACAAAATAACAGTTGGAAGGGACCCTGCTCAAGCAGGAGATCCTATACCATTTAATACAAAAGGTTGTCCAGTCTCTTTCTAAAAGCCTCCAGTGATTAACTACCCACCGCTTCTGAAGGCAAGCCGTTCCACTGGTTTATTCTCACTGTCAGGAAATTTCTCCTTCGTTCTCCTTGGTTAGTTTCCAACCATCGCTTCTTGCCTTGCCTTCCGGTGCTTTGGAAAGTAGGTTGACCCCTGCTTATGGCACCTCTTCAAATATTGAAACTGCTATCACGTTGCCCCTAGTCTTTCTTTTCACATTACACGAACGTTAATAGAAACTTGCAAATCTGAAAGTACAACTCTCCCACCTTACCTTTACAATCCAAGAAACTAGAGAAGATCCTTCCTGAGAAGTTTGCCATGCCCACATTCCTTCTACGGGTTCAGATGCCTCTTATTTGCCTGTTGCCTACTCTGTGACTCTTCCTCCTGCCTCCCAGGTTATTCCCTCATTGCCCATATAAAATAATCAGGACACAGCCTCAGGAAGCAAGAATGGCCTTCAATGCAGTATCCTAATGCAACAAGCTAAAAAATATAAGGGAATGTTTGCCAACAGTGCAATTTCAAAATAATCAACTGAAGATTAGCAGCTGTATGTCTGTTTTACAATACGTGTATACGTCTCACGGAGCAAGACTCCGGACAGCATTCAAGGAACAACCAGAAACAGAATATTTCAAACCTGTTAAAAACAGCCACACCAACAATCGTAGTATGGATGAATGCCCACAGTCAGCCTAGAGACTAACTGTCTGTTGAAACAAAATGTTTTTCAAGACAAGGAATGCAGATCACTTAAAATGATAGTAGTGTGACATTTTGCATCTTTTGAAGAAGGGAGGAAAGCGAGTGAGAAAGAAGAAAAGCGATGCTCATTAGAAGATACTAAATTTTCAAAGTGTTTGCATTGTTGTCAAACCCATCAATATGCTGGGTGAGAGGAGACTGCACATATCTATATGAGCCATGGTGGCGCAGTGGTTAGAGTGCAGTACTGCAAGCTACTTCTGCTGCCGGCTGGCTGCCTGCAAATTTGGCAGGTCAAATCTCACCAGGTTCAAGGTTGACTCAGCCTTCCGTCCTTCCAAGGTGGGTAAAATAAGGACCCAGATTGTTGGGGGCAATATGCTGAATCTGTAAACCACTTAGAGAGGGCTGTAAAGCACTGTGAAGCGGTATATAGGTCTAAGTGCTATTGCTATAACTGCTCTTCCTACATTGTCACAAGCACCCTGGAGACCATTTCTCACCTTTGCCACCCTGGTGACTGAAAATTACATGGTTGCTTCATCTACACCTTAGTTATTAATGTGAGCTGACTCCTTGTCCCTGGATTATAGGAAAATGCTTTGAATATCGTGGATGTTAAATTAACAATTTATCCAACTCATTGGGCAATTTGTGGAAAATGTGTTCATGAATTATAACAGAGCAAACAGAATTTCTGCACCTTTGGTTCAGTGTTTCTTAACCTTGGCACACATACCGGCTGGGGAATTATAAGAACTGAAGTGAACAACATTTCAATGTTGTC